CCAGGATGTACTTTACAGAATTAAAACTGAAAATTTGACTTGACTACGTTAAAGAAAAGAAACTGAAACGATGTAAAATGAAACAAAAATAATATTTATTAACGTAAGATACAAGTAAAAGATGAGTGCATGAAGACGACAGACAACACTTCTCTCTTACTGTCAACAGCTCTTACCAGGAGGAATTCCAGATGAAGACTGAGAGAGCATAACATTATATGAACAAAGCAATAAAGTCACCTCTCTAGTAGAGCAGCCATTGTCCACGTCATTATTTATTCCATAGTTGAAAGTAAGGAGGGCATAACCTCCAGACACTTCTAAACTTAAACACGGAGATGTTACTGGTGAAAGTTTATACAAGATCAAAACTAGTTCTCCAAGAATATCATCCGAGAGAATCGTCTAAAATTACCTAAGCTAGACATTCGCCTTGACTGTGTGTAACTAGCACAAGAAATAAGGTCAGTACTGCACGGGACGTATTTCCTGTATGTGAAAGTCTGAATGAACTTTAAAAGCACGAGTGTCTCAAACATTTTGAAACTTCTAGTAAACTAAAATGTTATCGTTCTAAGCAAAGAGTGAGAAATAAAATGTGGTAATTTTCAAAGTATCATATCTATATATTTTAGCACTTATAAAATTTTCTACCTTCATATCTTACGTTTAATGTACAACACCTATTAAATCTAGCACTTAATGCAGTGTCACTCATTAAATCTAGCACTTAATGCAGTACCACTCATTACATCTAGTGTTTAATGCAGTACCACCCATTAAATCTAGTACTTAATGCAGTACCACTCATTAAATTTAGCACTTAATGCAGACTACTCATTACATCCGGTGTTTAATGCAGTACCACCCATTAAATCTAGTACTCTCAGACGGTGGTGCATTACAACAGGCTTTGGCATTATCACGATCGAGGACATTTCAGTTGGAACGAAGTGAACAACAGAACAAATGACGCTGCTGAAGATGTGTCACCTGAAAAAGCCACTGTCGAAGAAAAAACTCTACCCGGTTTTGAGACGAAAACAGTGAAGCTGCTAACGAAGTTACTACCACTGATGCGACTGCTA